TAAAAAAATAAACTAAATTTAATATAATTTTCTCATTAATTTTAAAATTTAAGAATAATTTTTTAACAAGCACCCGTGTAATACACGGATATTGTACTAGTTACCAACTCATCTATAAACATGCTTTGTCACCCATTAAACCTTCTAAAGAAGCCACCTCATGCCACTAAACCTCTCCTTAATTCCCACCAATTATCCTTACGGAAAAATGGAATTAAAATGGACAAATTCTTCATGAATTTACAACCAAAAGTGCTACGGCTTTTTGGCTTTAGATGTGATCAATTGTTAATTAATCACCTCATTATATTTAATTATTTAATTAAACATAATGCTTAATTACTAAAATTATTCCGAACGTAAACATAACTTCGAAAATAATTTCGGGTAATCTCGACTGAAATATCTTTAATTCGAAATAATAAATAATTTCGAATTCTTGACTTGGACGATTAATCCGAATATTGATATTCCGAATCATTCGTCAACTTAGCTAATTAATTACGAATTCATTAACTAATGAAATCAATCGGAATTAAATCTTGAAACTTATTCAGTTATTGAACTAATTAAACCGAATAATTTATTGACTAATAGTCGAACTTGGAATATGACTAACTGATTGACCTGAACTTGAACATGAACATGATTATTTATTAACAAATGCTAGCTTAAAACTAAAAGCTAGTATTTTCCTTTATTAATAAAATACGGGGCGTTACAAAAGGGGAGACCCTCAACTATTGGAAGGGCCTCTCTCTCTCATTTCGGATAAGATGGAAGAAGCAAAGAGGAGAAAGAGGATTTTATCTCTAAAACAATCAAGAAAAATACACATTCATCTAACATCAAGACTTTCCCATTATTTCATACAAATTCCAATAATATATTGGTTGTTACGAAAATTACTGACAACAGCTATCTTGTACACTAAGTCACTAAATATTTAAATACTGTAATAATAATAATAATAATAATAATAATAATAATAATAATAATAATAATAATAATAATAATAATAATAATAATATACTATCTGCATCATTCTCTCCTGGTTGAGCAGGATTCGCCCTCGAATTCAACCCATTCTCGTTGGAGACATCCCCATGACTGGAATAACCCAGCGTTCCTCCTGTCGAACGCAAAGGTTGAACGACGACGTGATCTACCTTGGCTAGCCACAAAGTACTCGGTTGCTCGAATTACACTTCTTCTCTCCTCAACTTGAGTTACTCGACCATCAACTAATAATTTTAGCAATATATTAAATTTAATTTTTCAGTAATAGTCCCATTACAAATGATGTATTTAATGGAAATACATTTTTTTTACAACCATGAGATGATAATATAATTAATCAAATGAATTTTCATAATTATAATAAATTTTTTAAAATTTTGTCAACAAATTACTTTATAATTAATATTGTGGTCTTATTGAAAACATATTAATCAATTAATATTCTATTTAAGTCAATATATAATAACAAATAAAACATTAGTAATTGAGTAAACAAAAAATAATTAATGTTCATATATAAAATTTGCTAATAGATAAAAGATAAATATATGCTATATATATGAAAATACTTTCACGATCAACACTATGTCAATTATATTAACAAAGAATGGTCCATTGTATAGATATAGATTGCACATCTTAAAGCCACCCCACATACATTGCAAGAATTTATGCTTGTTTATAAAACCAATCCAAAAAAATCCAATCATTTTTAACTCAACTATTTTTTTAACTCAATTTTAACTCAACCCACTATCATCAATATAATTAAATAATATCAATAAATCAACCCACTATCATCAATATTATCAATATAATTAAATAATATCAACCAATCATTCTTACACACGACATCAACCTTAATTTACTATTCATTACTCACATAATTTTAACTAACCATCACATCACATCTTCTCTCTCCTACTTTTACATCAATTTAATTTTAATCATTTTATTTTAAAAATTATTTTAATAAACCCACTAACAATTAACCATACCAATTTTTTCAAATTTAACCAACCCAAGCCAAAAACCCAATCAAAACCAAAAAAATTTATAAACAAGCTCATTGGTAAAAATAAAATAAAATAAAATAAAAAATTATTTAAAATATAAATATAGCCTCAACAGTAAGAAGGAAAGTCAATGCTCTAACAAGATTGGTTAGTGCTGAGTGTGTGGTTTGTGAGTCACAGAGGCAATTGCAGATTGCAGTAGTGAGTTCTATGGGCAGTTGCATTTCCTCTCTTTCATTTTCTTTTAATGTGAATGGTGTTGTGAAATTGTCAAAGTTTCTAGAGGAATTAGGCAGGGGATCCTTTATCCCCTACCTATTTCTTATAGTGGTTAAGTGTTTTACAAGACTTATTCTTCTTGATAATCAACAAGGGAAGTTATCTAGTTTGAAAATTTCTAAAAAAGGACCTCAGATTACTCACTTGTTGTTTGCTGATGATGCTCTGCTACTCTGTAAGGCTGGTGTGGTACAAGCCTTAAATTTGATTTAAATTCTCCAGAAGTACAAGAATTTTACAGGTCAGAAGGTTAATTTTGCCAAATCTTCTATTTTCTTCTGTAGAAACATTACCTTGTGTGCATAGACAAAAATTGGTCAAGATTTGGAGAAAATTTCTATTCATCAATATACTAGGCATTTTGGATTGCCTCTGGGTATTATGAAATCAAAAAGAGAAAGCTTTGCCTTTGAGGTGAATGCAGTGAGAAGCAGATTAATTAGCTCGAAGGATATGTATTTTCTATCAAATGCAGGGAAAGAGGTGTTGTTCAAATCAGTAATTAATGCTCTGCCTATTTTATTATGTCTTGCTTTTGTATTCCAAAAGGGGTTTGCCAAGAAATCTCAAAGTTATGTGCGGGATTTGGGTGGAGTAAAGGGGAAGAGAAAAGCAAGTGTTTGCATTGGAAAAGGTGGCAATTGTTGACTGTTCCTAAGATTGATGGTGGGTTGGGATTTCAAGATTTGACGATATTTAATGAAGCTCTGATATAAAAGCAATTTTGGAGAGTGATTACTAAACCTAATTTGTTAGCAAGTTAAATGCTAAAAGAAAGGTACTTTCCCAATGACTCTCTTTTTCATGCTAAGATCAAATCAAGAGCATCATGGATTTGAAATAACTAGCTCATATTCCAATAGGGGTTCAAGCTGCAAATAATAGATGGGTGGTCAACAAAAATATGGAGGAATTCATGGATTCTTAATATGGAATCAGGTACTCCTGTGCTCAAAGGGGATGTCAGCTGGACAAACACATGGGTTGGGGAGTTGTTTGAGGAAGGGGGAAGACACTGGAATGAGAAGGCATTGGAGGTGTTTTCAGAGGAAGAAAGGAACAATATCAAGCAAATCAAATCTCTTGATCCAAATTTGACAGATAGATGGATTTGGACTCATGATGAAAAAGGGATATTTTTAGTGGCTAATGCTTACTCGGTGATGATGAAACAGAAGCTTAGAGACCTTGACTGGGCAGAGAGTAGTGATGGGGTTGATTGGAGCAGGAAGATTAGGAGAAGAACTTGGAAGATGAAGGTTAAAGGAAAGTTAAACCATTTCCTTTGGAAGAGGAATCTGAAAAGTAGAGGTATACTAGTGGATACCATTTGTCAATCTTGTGGGGAGGAGGAGGAGTCCAGAGAGCATACTTGTTTTTATGTAGGAGAGCCAAGTTGGTGAGGCGGTTAGCTCCAGCCAATTGGGATAGACTGCAGTGTAGAACTCAAAATTTCAGACACTGGTGGTGGGGGATCTATGAGGTTGACAGAAGAATTATATCAGATGAAAGATGAAAGAATCCAACTGACCACGTACATTTTGTGGTGGCTCTAAAAATCAAGGAATTTGTGTAAATTTAGAACATTGTAATGCCAGAAGTGGAGGTTGTCAAAGCCACATGGAGAGAGTGGAGGAAATTCAACATGGCAAACTCAAGGGAGGTACAAGACTGAGAGGAGGCTGGCTACTAGGTCTCTTTGGAGTTCAGTGGTAGCAGTTTTCTTTCTTATTCTTTTTAGACCGGCATGTCCTTCATATTGTGTATATTGTATTGAAACGTCTAGAAGAGTCGAGTATCTTTGGCTTCTAAGTGTTTAGTTGGTTTGGAGTGTAGGCCACTTTCTTTCGGTGGTTCTCTTATTTTCTTGGGACTAGTTAGTCCAGCGGGCTGTAAACAGTTCACCAAAAAACAAAGTGATGGTATTCAAGTTCCTAATTGATATGCTTAGCTATTATTAATTAAAACTTCAACATCGTAGCCGAAAATATGATTTGTGTTTCTGCAAACTTACAATGTCCCTATAATGACAAAACAAGAGAACCAATCAATTGCTTTTCAATGTGGCTAATAGTTGGCCAACCAAATAACATCTGTATATAAATGCAACCACGCCTCCTTATTTTGTCCCCGAGTTTTAATAACATCAACATAATTTTTCATCATAGAGAAAATGTATCTGCACTACAAAAACATGAGCAACATTAATGAAGATGAACTCACTAACATAGCGGGCAACTCTTGATGCGCACAGTTAAACAAATATATAAATTTACAGAATTGTAAAACAAAAATGAAAACGTTATCATTAAAGGAGTTTCTTTTCGGCAGATCGTTATATAAGTGAAACAATCATTTTTTTTTTCTCATATTTTGCAGAGGAACTGTGAACGCCCATAAAACTAATGCAACTACGAACAACGATAATAAGTTCACGGAACCAAGAACTCAGCAAGGAGTATGATTCTAATTTTGTGCATAAGTTCCAAAAATGTGAAGTTTGGAGTACTCTCAAAATGCTACCAAATAATGTTAAGAAAATGCAACCGTCTCTCATATACGTTTCTAAGGAAATAGATAAAATTCAGCCAATAGCAGCCACGGCATTTAACTACCAAAATTTCTGCCAAAAAGCCAAACTCAGGTACCGATTAGCAGCAACATAATATCTGGAATCTTGTATTATCATACAGCTATCAGTGAGTGCAGCCTTTTTCGGAATATAGATACTTTACTAGCTTCAATAGCCATCACCAGACCCATCAACCGATAATCTTTAAGCTGCAGTGAGAAGTCATATCAGCAAGAGACTAGAGAAAATAAGCATGATTAACTGCCGATTTAATAAAATCAGATAAATTTGATATTTTGTTCATATTATTCCTTAATGTAATCCAAGTTTTTGACGAGTACACTGGCTGACATTAATAGCTGCAAATAATGTAGGATATCACACGTATAGTGAAATGAAGAGACTTGCCTCATTATCTGTGACCTGCTGGGCATGCAAAGGAAATATGAAGGACCACAGACTAAGCTGCAGAAGCATTTTAAAAAACGGGTCAGATTTAGGAAACAGAAAAGACTGCCGAAGAAACAGGGAGACAATATTGTACCTCATAGAAAATTTCGTCTTCTGGTTTCACGTAAATTACATTTTCCTCTCCAGTTTTGGTTATACCTTTATTCTTGTCTGCATTCTTGTGCTATTAGCAATGCATACAGAACAAATTATCAACGGTTGTGGATTTACCCAAATCCAATGCCATACAATTAATGAGAGCTCGACCAACAACATACCTTGTATATTTTGCTAATAATCAGATAATATTTGAAGCGAAAGCAATTCTGGAGCTCCTTTGTCGGCTTTAACAGGTAAAAACAGAAGCACATAACAAGAAATGAAATCACTAAACATAACAAATGCATTCAAGATATAGAAGTAATCTTGAATGTGGCGATAATTATAATAATCCATATATGTAGTTTGTCTATAATATTATAATATTGATATTAACCTCATCTTCAGTTGCCCACTCCACCTCATCGAAGAGAGCATCATAAAGAGGCGGTAAAAGCTGAGGTGGAAGATTTACAACACGCTGAGAGATCATAAGACCAACATCCTGTGCATGCTCTCCAACTAGAGACTTGACTTTAGCTATTACATCCATATCCCGACACACTTTAAGAAGGTAATCCTTCAGCTCAATGATACATTTGCTATCCTGATACAAACCAAAGATCAAACTACAGATCGAACTTCAAAATTTCGAGTTGTCCCAAACATGGAACAACTATGCTTGTATAGTTTAGCCGTTAAATAACACACAATATGAAAACACCATGTGCTACAATCCCTAGAAAATTCTACGAATAGCCAAGTAAGGACAGAAATATAGTTAAACACCAAATATTAAATTTCTTGCCTTATATCTTCCTAAATTAAGAGCAGTAACAAAGGAATATGTTCCATCATCTTCGTCATTCTCTATCTTGACCACACTCCCCACAGTTGGTTGTCCCAATATCAAATCTACAAAGCCACTGATATCCCACACCTTGTTATCAAGGTACGTCTGCAGGAGGACCTTCACTCCATGAAAATCACTAGGTTTCGGATCAAAGAAAACAAAGTCCGCTTGAACAACTCCCTTTGTGAAAAAAAAAACACTGGATTAATTAGTTTAATCTGATGAAAAAACATGTACTGTGGAGGAAGAAGGTGAACAAACCAACCTCAGATTCTTCACTATCAGAAGAGTCACAATGTTCCCTTTTATCCTTGCCCTTGTCTAGAAATGCATTATTCATTCAATAGTCACCATTAAGAATTTGACATGAGAACCCTCAACACGCACCAGGAAACGAAATCACAGAGCAAGAAATTCATGAGAAGAGCATACCAGCCGAATTTGTAGAATGTTTAGTTTCCTCAATCCCCCGCCTGGCCTTCTTGCTCGAGGCCGCCATAGCCATCGACCGAGCAAATGGTGAGAAAGTGAGCGGCCGATGTCTCTTTGACAGCTGACTCCGTTTCGGTCTCCTTGTCATACTGTAAAATTGCAGCAAATTGGCCAACCAGACAAAATGAACCCTAAAAAAGAGTCTTTAATTTTCTTTTTTCCCAGCATTTATCCAAATAAACAGAAACTTGCCAACAAAAATCAGTGTGAACCCGCAAAAACTCTAAGTCTAACACAGTTCGATCGATGAACAATCCTTTGTTCTGTCGATGGATTTTTCCAGTACTCACCTACTATACAAATCCCTTGGAACTAAACTTGAGCAGCTAATACGATTGGAACAAGTTGGGTTTAGCATAAATATTTCACAAGAATTTCTGATTTATTAGTCAATTGGGCAATTGCGTGAGCCGATTCGGAAGTAGGAACTTACCTCCTCGGAGCTTTGTCTGTGACACCAAGTTCGTCGTGCCGGCTGCGGTTGGCGTCTGCGGAGCGGAGATAGGCCGTGGACCGAGCGCCGGAGGCGTGAAGCTACTTGTGTGCTCCAATTTTCTGTGCTCTGGGTTCTGTTTTCTCTAATAGTAATTCGGCTGGACTTACTTAGGCCCATTACTCGGAGAAGTCGTCGAATCATACATCTATTTTCCGTTTGGGCCTTTTACATATTTGCAAGTGCTTAATTTGTTTGGCCTCTTACATAAATCATGAATTAGTTTTTTAGTCTAAATCTTAACCAATATTTTGAGCAGGATTACAAATAGGCCAAGCCATCATAGACATCCATGTTGTGGTCGTAGGGTTGTTTTGTTGCGGTTTTTGATTTTTGTGTTAGGTTGTTTGTATGCTGCAGGTTGTTCGCGTGATTTAAAGGAGGTAGTATTCTATCGTTAGGTAGTGTGTTAAACTCTACTAGTTGGAGTTAGGTATTTTTCGTTTGTCGGAATCGATAGTCCCTCCTTGTGGGATTTTCTAGTTGGTGCTTCGATTATGTGTCTAGCATTTTGGTTTTAGTGCTTTTTGCCGCTGTCAGATGCTTTGATCCCTCTTGCGGGTGTTCTACTTTTAGTTTAGGGAACTTCTATTAGTGTTCCTACCTAATTCCACCTTTTGGTGGTTTTTTGTATTAGCCTCCGGGCTCCATCGTGTAATTCAATATTTTGAGGATTAAAATATATCGTTCCGAAAAAAAAATCATAGATATCTAGGCTTGGATAATGTTGACGAGCAATTGTCAACGGTCCTTACTCGTAAAATTAAGGGTAACTATGTGATGACTAGGTAGGTGTTTGATGTGTATTATGCGGGTATGAGATGTGATATGGCAAGAAAATAAAATAACATAATTTCACTGATCTGCAGGGAGATCAACGTGGAGAAAGACTCTCTGAAGAAATTACTAGCAACAATTGTTGTTATAGTGGTAGCTATAAAGTAAGCTTATGTATGCTAGTATGTATGTATATTCCCTTTTTTTGTGTTTAGCTTGTTCAACTTCCTTGGCTTAGCTTGTCCAAAAATAAGGTGCCGAGGAGTCACCTTTATAAACAAAAAAAAAAAAAGTAAAATGTGATAATGATCGTGCTCCACCTTGATAGCTAAGAGGAGGACGTGTGGTGCCATGATGAAGTTTGCTTTGAGGACGGAATATTTTTTTTTCAGGTCTGCAAGACCTGACCAGTTTGGACGACGAGAGGAGATCCTTTTGACGGTGGTGCACCGTTTTCAACGCTATACTAGTTCAGTCTGTCAGAGAGTGTTCATACTCTGCAGAGCGATCGACAATGATAATTATGAGATCGTTAATTATCACTAGAGGATGATCTGGTGATCAGCAGATCATCCTCTCATTGTAGGGTCGATCGCACTAGTGGTATTGGGTACTGCATAGGTGTGACATGTTGCAGTGATAGTGGGCCATGTTCTTGTCTCGATCATATTGGCTTTCGGAGAATACTTTTAATAGATACACAACATCGGGCCCTCAGGTTTTCATGTCACCGATGGGATGACAATATCACAAAGGGGAGCTGAGAAGCTGTCTGCAGCATGCTCTGACTTTTGAGAAGGTTGATGCATTGGATAGGCATCGAGTATCATCGAAACGGGATCGCTGTAAAATTTGGATACCAATTAATGGCAGCTTGAAAAAAGACAAGACTACTATTGATATGACAAGTGTCACTTGTTGAGGATGGAGACGTGTGAATTTTCTCGATAATCGACACCCTCAGCTAGTTTTCGAGGGTTACTTTTTCAAGCCATAAATACGGGCGTTTTTTCTCTCCCTTCCTTTATCATCTTTCTTACAATTTTCAAAACGTAATCTCTAAAATTTCCCGAAAAAAAAAAGAATTCTTCTTCAATTATTCAAAATGTAAGAGATCAACCATGATTTTGATATGGAAGCGATAGAGGCATCTCTGAGGAGTAATTGGGTTGAACAAATAAGGGAGTCGATCCCTACTATAAGTGGGATCTGGAAGATGCACTTAGATTGAGGAAGAGTCATCTGGGCCGAGACCAGAAGGCTTTTGGAGAAGATCACCACTAGAATATCTAGATAGACTGAGTGATCTAAAGACCTGTAAGAAGACAAGTATTTTGAAGCATACAGGCGTGGTTAAGTTGCAAAAAAATCTTGGGGTGCTATCATCGATAAGATGCTTCGTGTCATATGACGATGAACAAATCCATTGTCATCTCCCTGGATGTGTGGCAGTTCATAGGTAATCGATGTTATTGGGTTTGCGATTGCCATTACCTGAAATATTTGTGGAATATACATTGGAATTGGGGATTGGCATTAGTCTTGTGGAATATTTGTTGGAATTGGTTGATAGAGATGCTCTCACATCTCTCTAACTCTCGCTCTCTCTCTAGAAACCCCATCCCCTTCTTCCCCCCAATCCCTCCTTTCTTCTTTCCGATCACCTCCCCCAGTTAGTCCTCGCTGCCGTCCGTCGTTGCCGGCGGCGAGCCGCCCGTTCTCGGGTTGTCGGCCAGCCTTTCTTTCCCCCACCTCTCTCTCCCTCTTTCACCCCGTCTCATCAAGATGTTCTCCCCAAACCCTCAGATTGCGCTATTTTCATTCCCGACCAGCTCTCTGTCACAGACCTCGAGTGAGATCCTAGGCAAAATTTCTTCATGGACTAACATATTTAAGAAATTCATCAAATTTGTTTCTCGCCCAACAGTACCATCGCACGACATGACTCACCTTACTCGAGTAGAAGGTCCACCGGCACATGGCAGTTCCCACACAGGCGGCTCACCGTCTCCTTTTGGCGGCCCATCCTTGACTGCTACAGCACCGCCTCTGCCTTGTTCAGCGCCGCCGCCCGTCGAAGTTATCTACCCGGCAGGCCCCGACCTTTCTGCCGTCACCGGCTCTTCAACATGTCAGATCGACGACAGCCCTTGGCCGGTTCAATTTGGCTCGATCCCAGCGCCAACCCTACCCTCTCCCCCGATCACCCCCAACCTTGCGGCGTCAGCTAACTCAAGCGCAACAATCCCTAGCCTCGACCTCAGTAAACAAGATTTCCCCTCAGCTCATGTTTTGGGCCGACCCATTGGGCTGCTTCCGTGGCCCAACTCAGAGACCTCTTTATTTCTAAATGGACTGCCATCCTTGGCCCAATCCCCCCTCTTTACCTAATTCACCAATCCATCTCCTTCAGATGACAAAGCCCCCAGGCCCACCTCCTCCCTCCCTCATTAGGCCCAATCACCATCACCATTGCCCCTTACCCCAGCATGGCCGGGATGCGTCGCACCACATGTCGGAGACCACCGTCTCTCAACCTCTGATGCCGGTCAGGGGCCCCTTCGCCGGCTCCGGCGCCGGCGCCGGCCAACCTCTCACGGGTGGAACAACTTTATTTTTTTCTCTCGCTGGCCCATTCTCCGCCCCGCCGTCTGTCACCTTGTCGGATCCCTCCGGGACCGGCCTAGCTGCCACTGCTGCAAAGAACGGGTGTCCCACCTCGGCCATCAGCGGCAAGGGCACAACGGCTGGTATATTGGGTCATGGTCCCTTGCCGTCATCTTTCTCTCCGCCGGCAACGGATCTCAACGAGCGGGCGACAAGGGATACCTTGGCCTGTGATCCAAGCACGGCCACCCCCTTGCCTCATACGGCGATCCAGGGCCCTCGCCCAACCGGAACACAGTCTTTTCGAGATGTAGTATCAGGCGCCCCCACTGCTAAACCGGGCCGCCAAAGGTTGACGTTGGAGTCCTTTCGGGACAAACAAAGCGGGACCGTCACTCTCTCTAAGGAGGACAGGTTCAAGGTAAGTTTCCCTGAGCCCACTGTTATTTCCTTAGCTGAGTCGTTTGATAATGCACTCATCTTGACGTTTTCCTTCACTATCCCCTCCCTCCAGGACTTATCTGTCGGTCTGGAAAAAATGGATTTCAAGGGTAGAGTGTCCCCTAAGTTCCTTACCTATAATCAATATTTAGTGTTTTTGAGTTGAAAGAGGACTATAATTCAGTTTGAATTAAGACGCATCTCAATATCTTTGGATGTGCTGGTCGGGTGTTTAACTACACCCCTGATTTCTCTCTTGTTGAGGAATCTCTCATTGTCCCGGTGTGGTGCTGCCTTCCGGGCCTCATACCGCATATTTTCGCCCCTTCTGCCCTCTTCTCGATTGCTAGCTGCATTGGCAACCCCATTGAGACTGATGCCGCTACGGAAAACCACTCGAGGTTATCTGTCGCACGGGTGTGCATGGAGATTGACCTCATGGATGAGCTCATAAAGGAGATTGAGCTTGACCAAGCGGGCAAAACCACTATCCAGAAAGTGGTCTACGAGAGAGTTTCTCCGTTCTGCACCCTATGTAGTCATGTAGTACATGGGGCTGCAGAATGTTACACCAAGGGCGACAAGCCCCGACCCGCTTTGCCCCTCGTCGCCGTGTAGCAAGGAAGAGACCTACTACCGCCCCGGGGAGCCCGAAGGAGAAGGGCCAAGCCCCTTCCCATGGTCCCGACAAGGGATAAAAAGGCAAGAGTAAGGCCACCTCTGAGGCCACCTGGACCAAGGAGGCTATCCTGAATGGGGCTAAGGCCAAAGCCACAGGCCTATTCCCCCATCAGTCTCTCCAGTATGCCTCTATGGCTACTCACTCTTGCTTCTCTGTGCTTGACACAGAGATGGAGGAGGAGATTCACACTTCCTCCGATCACTTAGGAGCTTCGACCAGCTTCCCCTTATGACGACGACCTTCTAGTTGATGAGATAGAGCCTTCCCCCAGCCTCCTGTATATTGAGGCTCCTCATTTCCTCCCAGAGCCCAGTCAGATATTAGAGCCCTCCCCTCACCCTACCTCACCAGCTTGACCCCTTATGACCCTACCTTTCACTTCCCCCACATCATCCACTATCGAGTCTGGTCCGCCTTCCCCTCAGGGCCAGGCCCTGAGCACAGATGGTTTGGAACACCTTCAGCTCATTTTCCTACCTCCGGTGTTTCTCCCTATGCGAGAGGACCCTTCCCAGGAGGTCCCAAAGCACCAAAGACCACAGACCAGATCAAGGACTTCGCAGCTCTCCGCGAGCCGAGTTCTGACTCTACCAGACATACAAACACAGCCTAA